TAGAGAATACGAGTCTTTGCTACGTAACCAGCTAGAGGATGGGTAGGTATAAGACCATACATTTTAATAAATTACAATGTTTTGTGGAAATTTTGTTTAAATGAGGAATAAATGAATTTAATACCGAATAAAAAAATAAAAAACGGCCAAATTTGGGGTATTTTAAAAAGTTGAAAAATAAAGCCTTAAATACCAGATAAATATAACATGATAGAACCTTCAGATATATCAAATAAAACAAGATACCTTCCAGTGTATGTCACGTGGTATATTATGGAATATATATATACTCTATAAACTGAGTGAGCCCAATTGGAATTTTAAACAATGTACTTTTAATACATTTATCATACAACGATGACAGAGGAATGTTTCATTATATGATCTAATTCTATAGTTGCAGGTGAGTGGCAGGGGATGGTGGTGGTCTGACAAAATATCGGGAGACAAAACTGTGTTGTCCTTATCGCTACTGCTGCTGAATGATCGAGCGACGCTATTAATCTGGTCTCAAGCTCTTAGCCAATCAGATACACTTGCATAATTAAGTGACGCTAACTAGTTCCCCTTACCCAATCAGAAAGCTATATAGTATACACGTGATAATTAGACTTGTATTTCTAGCCATCTCAAGATACACATTTTGGTAATCTCAAAAATGTAAATTTTGTTTAAATGAGGAATAAATGAATTTAATACCGAATAAAAATATAAAAATACGGCCAAACTGAGATATATTATGTTAATGATATAGCTGAGTGCCCCAAAAAATTGATATGTAATTCTTGCAAATTCTTTTCTTCAATATTTAAGGTATTTACTGCGCTATATATATCTTTGTCGTTGCTTTCTTGTTAAATCTATATCTTTTCGATTATATGTATAAATATATACTAACAAGCTTTCGTGGCGTATAATATATATCATAAACACATCATGCACACATCTGACCTCGATCTGGTATAGACTAAGTAAAGTATTAATCGATGGTCATTAGGATCCACATAACTATATATATATACACTAGTGTCTACATAGTATCCCTTGTTTCTATTCAATTGTGTATTGATGCGATATGTACACCGTACGTTTTGCGCCCATCATTATGATATTGAAGGGTCTCATGACTCTGTAATATGTCTATGACCTATTACTTCCCAATGGGCTCAACACGTGTCTGTGGCGTACGCATGATACCATGATATCCTACAATAAGCCAAAGTGGGTTATACTATTTTGAAGGTAACTGATCATGCAGTTTCTATTATTGACTGCCCTGTTGAATTTATTGCTGGACACTCATGGTATCTAAGTATCGGTGGTTAGCGATCTCTGAGCGTCTCTAATGCACGATGTTGGAGTACGAATGTATCTACAATATGTATCTGATGACCACCTTCCCAGTATTTTGATTAGGTGATCTTGAACGTGGGCTGCTGAAGCACTTGTCGCGGCCCCGATGCGAAAGATGTGTCCATTGTACTCGTTTGAGTTAATGCCTAAACATTCTAGAACATGTTTGAATTTTTCGATAAATACGTTCCTAGTCAAGACTTTGTCATTTTCGTCCACGAACAGGGGGTCATCTTTTGACGGGTTTTGTTGCTGTCTCGCTTCCACAAATTTACAACAAGTGATGTATGGGCATATAGATTTATCGGTCTTGAACAATTTCAAAGTGATTCCTTCCCTGAAGGGATCCGTCTTGGATGTCTTTAGACGGAGTAGCACGTATTCGTCCGCTATGACCAGGTCTTCGACACAGAGATTGATATTGCGGTCAAATTTACATTTGACAGTAAACTCCCCGCACCCCAAGAAACCCAAAAAGGCCAATATACACACGGTTTCTAACATGAGGTTACCAAACGAGATGGCATTTGAACGTAAATACACACATATTGCTTTTAGAATATCAAATGTCACTGGATGTCGTGGTTTCGTTACCTTAATGTTGGTTCGTTTTACGCCTCCTAGAATGGCTTGCATTCTATTCAATTTGGCACTATTGGGGTATGTAATGTTGTTCTTCATGCACATGAACCGGATTCCACACACGTATAACTTAATTGTCGTATAAGTTAGATTAATACTATGGCAGTAAGCTACGAATAGTATCAGCAGGTCCTCTGTAACCCACATTCCTGCTAAGTTGAAACTGTTGATGAGGCCGGCCATTAGTAGAAATTGAACGAATGTATTATAACCTGTGTGGTAAGTTTTTAAGGTACTTGGGGCTAATGCCGCCTCCCACAGGTCTTTGACTACTCTCCCTACCTCCAGAATAACTCCGATGGATGTGGGACCTAGCATGGTAGGCGGTTTGCTTCCGGGGCTAGTTCTCGGAATCGACGAATCTGTAAACGAGATAGAGAATCCGCGATGAGGTTACTTTTGCCTGGGGCATGCCGAGACATGACCACAAACATGTTCATAGCAGCACACATAGTAAGACGTCTCATTAAAGGCATGATATGGGAAGCTTTCTAGCGTCCTTTATGTAGAATAGACACAGTAGCTGTATTGTCACACATAAACATGATCCTCAAACCCTTCCACAAATGACCCCATATCATGGCAGACACTACAATAGGGTACAGTTCCTTAAACGCTATTGATAATTCTTCCTCGCTGTTCGCGTGTTCCTGCATGGATGATGGCCATGCTTCTGAAAACCATTCACCTTGCATGTATCCACCGTAACCTAGTGTGCCGGACGCATCAGTAAATAGTTGTAGGTCATCAGTTGATGTGATTTGGCGGTCGTAGAATATGGCTGCCCCGTTCCACTGAGCCAAAAAAGACAACCACATTCGTATGTCTTCCCTACATTCCTGAGTTAGCTTGACATGGTAGTGTAATAGTTTGATGGTAGTTGACAGCTTGATAATGTGAGAAATAAAACTCTTGCCTGGGATGATTACTTTGTTCGCGAAATTGAGATGCCCCAGAAGCTGTAATAGTTCTCTTTTGGTGCACGACTGTCGGCTTTGGAATGATTGTAGCATCTCGGTATCGCGTTTTAGTTTGTCTTCGGGTAGTCTGGCTTCCATATAATGGGAGTCTAAGATGATACCCAAGTACTCCATACCATTCTCGGGTCCACATGTTTTGTGGAGGGCCATAGGGATATTAAGACGGTTAAATATCAAATATAACAACGTCATGTTTCTCTGGCCACATTTTCCGGGCTCTTCAAATGTTATAAAATCGTCCAAGAGATGCAAGATGTGAGCTATACCGTAATTGTGTTGCGCGATCCAGCATATGGCTTGCGACAAATTGTTAAAGATTTTTGGGCTAGACCTACACCCGAATGCCAACCTCGTATAGTAATAGTAATTACCTTTCCAACAGATGCCGAACAGATGCCACTGTGATGGATGAATGGGCAGTAATTTGAAGGGTCCGAAATATCTGTTTTACACATTGAAGTATTTTTTCCTAATGTTTGTATCAATTTGATAGCATCGTCTATGCGTACATAAGACAGGGAACAATCCTCATTATCTATTAGGTCGTTGACACTAAGGTGTTCGTCATTGTCGTGTGGTGAAGATAGGTCCACTATCAAACGGGGTTTACCAGAGTACTTCCCATATGACACCCCCATTGGACTGACTCTATATGTTGGGAATGGTAATTTATTAAAGGGTCCTTGTAAAAAACCTTTTTAGTCTCACTTAGAATAAGGTTGTCGACAGTGTTTTCGTCGTTTAAAGCCGACATTAGGTTTCTACATTCTTTAATGGGAAGAGCAGATCCCACCACCATAGTATCAAATTCATGAGTCAGTCCATCGCATAAATAGTTCACAAACTCGCGGTCCGGATGACCGGTCAGTTCATAGCTCAGTCGTTCAATATTGACCGGAGTTGTTGCCAATTGTCATTGACGGGGATTAATGTTACTGTTGTCACTTGGGGGTTGTTTGTGTGTTTTCCGGCATGCCTTAGCTCCGTGATTGGTTGATTTGCAGTTCGAGCACATGTGGACGAAATTGCACAGACTGCCGCACTGACACCCCCATCATTATAATTGTTGCAAACTTCGGATCCATTAATCTTGATTCTTTTCCGGCCAAGTTTGTCCAATTTCTCCCCATTCCTGGCTTGTTGTTGGGGGTTCTTCAGGTTATTTGTGTTACCACTATAAACGGACTTCTTAGATTGTTGCTGGGGACAGAACGACGTTTGATGTGTGGTCGAGTTATACAGTTGGCACGTGTTAGCCCTAGCATTGCCTATTACCATGGCCAGAATGCCATTGTCTCTGAGGGCCCAGTTTACCCTTTGTCGTCTGTCCCTCAGAGCAGTAGCTGCTTTCAACGCAAATTGACAATGGTAATCATAAAACCTCTGGCCGTATACGTTGGCAATCTCAATGATGTTTGCTTCATGACTGTCCATCTCTGACCGACGCATCGGGAATTTTTCGCACATGACCCTTTTAAATTTGCCAAAAGCTGTCACAAATTCCGAAATGGTCAAATGTTTATTCAACCTGGGGTCCTCAACTTGATCGTTAATGTGGACATTAATGCCAGGCTGTA